CTGCTGCTGCTGCATTTCCTGTTGCTCCTGCAGCAGCAACAAATGATGAAGCTACGTCCGGGTGTATAGGCAGCAGCAGATTGTGCTGCTGCAGCAGCAGCAGCACCTGCTGCGCTGCAGCAGCATCCTGCTGCCTAGCAGCAAGATTTAACACTCCGCTTGCTGCTCCGAGAATTGCTGCTGCTGCTGCTGAATGTCGGCCTGCTGCAGCAGCAGTTGCTGCTGCTGCTGCAGCAGGTGCTGCTGCTGCTGCTGTTGAATTTGCTGCTGCTGCCTCCTGCCCCTGTGACTGCTCCCGTTGCTGCTGCTGCTGCTGCTGCTGCTGCTGCAGTTGCTGCAGCAGCTGCAGCAGCTGCTGCAGCTGCTGCAGAGCTGCTGAGATGCTTCCTTCTTTTATGGAGAGACCTAGGGCTTGCATGCGAGCGTTCAGCAGCCGTTTTTCTCCTGCTGCTGCTGCTGCTGCTGCTGTTGCTGCTGTTGCTGCTGTTGTATGTGCTGCTGCTGCTGCTGCTACATTTGCTGCCTTTGTTGCTGCTGCACCCCCTCTTGTTGCTGCTGCTGCTGCTCGACCTGCAGCAAATCTTGCTGCTGCTGCTGCTGCTGCTTCCTCCTCATCCCTGTAGCTGTTTGAGCCCGCAGCTGAGGCATGCTTGCTGCTGCTGCTGCTGCTGCTGCTGCTACTGCTGCTGCTGCTGCTGCTGCTGCTGCGCGCATGCAGGGAAACCCAGCAGCTGGATGGTGGCTTTGTGGGGGCCCACAGAGAAATGGTTTTGTTTGTCTTGAGGCTACTGCTGCTGCATGCTTTCGCTGCTGCTGGTGCTGCTGCTGCTGTTGCTGCTGCTGCTGCTGGTGTTCCTGTTACTGCTGGTGCTGCTGTTCCTGCTGCTGCTGCTGCTGGCAGCTGCAGAGGGGCCCCGAGAAATGAAGGCAGCAAACGGGGGGCCCCGGACCGACAGGCAGCAGCATTTGCATCTGAAGCCTGCAGCAGCAGCAGCAGCAGCAGCAGCAGCAGCAGCGGCAGCAGCAGCAGCAGCAGCAGACTAGAGGCAGCAGCCCTACTGCCCATGGCCGAGGTGAGGAGGAAGCAGAACCATCTCTGTAATCCGTCGATACACCGTAAACCCTAAACCCTAAACCCTAAACCCTAAACCCTAAACCCTAAACCCTAAAACCTGGGGAAACCCTGGACTCAGCGGTTTAGCGCTGGAGGTAAGGGTCTAGGGTTTAGGGTTTAGGGTTTAGGGTTTAGGCATAAGGTTTTTTATACTAAGACATGAAACACAAAAAGGGTTTGCTGCTAGGGTTTAGGGTTTGAGCTGCTAAACCCTAAACCCTAAACCCTAAACCCTAAACCCTAGAGAAACGAAACTCCTAAAACACAAAATATTCAACAAAACCCTAAACCCAAAACCCTAATATATAAACTCTAAACCCTAAACCCTAAACCCTAAACCCTAGCCAGCCCGCTGTAGATGGCGGGCCCTCGGCTGCCTGTCGGGCTCTGCGCTGGGGTCTCCATGAGGGTTTAGGGTTTAGGGTTTAGAGTTTAGGGTTTTGGGGATTTATTTATTTATTCTATTACAAGCCAATTAATATTTCTTTCTTTTTCAGCAGAAGTCTGCTGCTGGCCTTCAGGGGCCCCCCAACGAGCTGCAGCAACAGCAGCAACTGCTGCAGCAGCTGCAGCAGCTGCTGCTGCTGCTGTTGCTGCTGCTGCTGCTGCAGCAGCAATAGATACCTGCACAAATGCAACGCCTACAGCAAGCGGCTGCGACAGCCGCAGGCCCTCTTCTTGAGGGGGTCATTGCAGCAGCAGCAGCAGCAGCAGCAGCAGCTCCAGCAGCAGCAGCAGCAGCAACAGCAGCAACAGCATCACGGACGCGAGACCTGTTTGCCTGCGGTATTGGGCCAAGGGGGGGCCCCCTACCTTGGGGGCCCTCTTCTTGCACCTCACTCGAGCAGCTGCTGAGATCCAGCAGCAGCAGCAGCAGCAGCAGCAGCAGCAGCAGCAGTTTGGGTTTTGCGCAGCAGTTTATTTCGGGTGTAGTATCACCTCTGCAGCATAAACCCTTCTTAGGGGCCCCCATCTCTCTCTCTAGGGGCCCCCAGCAGCCTCAGCTGCAGCAAAGCGATCCTCACCAGGGGCCCCCATCTCTCTTTCTTACTAAACCCTGCTACCAAGGGGGCCCCCCGGGGGGCCCCCCTTCAAACCCATCTCTCATGTTTGGGGGCCCCCTGGGGGCCCCCTTCAACACCTCTCAGGGGGCCCCCCTCATGGGGGACCCTATGGGGGCCCCTCTAAAGGATCCTATGGGGGCCCCTCTAGGTTTCCCCGTGGGGGCCCCCCTGGGGCCCCCAATGGGGCCCCCAATGGGGCCCCCAACGGGGCCCCCCATAGAGTACCCTCTGGGTGTCCCGTGTAAAGATGCAGTAGATCCTATGGGGGCCCCCTTGGGGGCCCCCTTTCCCTATAAGGATTCAACAGTATACCCTGTGGGGG